TGCATACTAGTTGAGTGATAACCTTAAAATAAGTGTGAAGAAAAGAAACACTTCTGACCTGGTGTAGAATAACCAATATTTAAGCTAGCCTTTTCTTTTAATTGTTGTTGAAAGTCATAGTCTGACTCTAAAAATTTTATTATGGTTGAAAATCACTTGCTATATTAGAAACGGAGATTTTTTTTTTGAAATGGATGATAATAATTTTATTTGTGTAATGTTTTTATATCAAATGACACTCAATCCGCAATGTCCCACAATTTCATATAGTAATAACAATATTTTTTCTCTCATAAAAAATTTTATAACTATAATAATGAATTCAACAATATTGGAAAAGTATTTCAATGAAAATGAAAGATTTTTAAATACAGAAGAGAATAGTGATGTAAAAATTAATGTTGGTGTAAAACCAAATATTAAAGAAATCCATGCACATTCATTCATTCTACAAGTTCATTGCCCATTCTTTAGGAATGCTTTAACCAATGCAACAAAAAAAAATGGATATTATATTATTGAAAAAATAGATATAAGTGAATCAATTTTTAAACCTATTCTAAAGTAAGTGATTACAAAATTATTATTGAATAATTAACTTTTTAATTTAATATATAATTATTAATTGTAATAATAATATTTTATTTTGCTTTAAAAGATTTTTATATACTTGTAAAATTGAATTAGACTATTTTACTGGAGTTAACATTTTGGAAATATTAATTGCAGCTGGTGAACTTGGTCTTGAGTCACTTTATGAACATACAATGAATTATTTTGTTGATAAACATGAAGATTATATAAAAGAAAATCTAGTTAAAATTCTTAAATTAATTTATTCAAAGAAAGAAACTTTTAATGAACTTAAAAATACTTATTTAGAAAAATTTTGCAATTATGGTAAAGAGTTATTTCAGTCAAGTGAATTTGAATCATTGGAAAAACCAATTCTATTGGAAATTCTCAAAGGAGATGACTTTTCTGTTGATGAGATAGTTATTTGGGAAAATATTATTAAATGGGGGTTAGCAAGACATCCAGAGATCAATAATAATAATGTTGAATATTGGTCTTTGCAAAATTTTGCAGATTTTGAAACAACAATAAAAGAATTTATTCCTTTAATTAGGTACCGGGATATTTCTAATAAGGATTTTAGTCATAAAATTTCACCATATCAAATGCTTTTTCCTAGAACTTCATGGAAAATTATTTTAGATTATTATCTAATTCCTGATGAACAGCCAACTTCAACTTTACTACTACCATCAAGAAATCCAATAATTGACTCAGCAACAATTAACCAAAAGCTTACATTGCTTTTTGCAAGTTGGATTGATCGAAAAACCCCACCATATACTTCACTTGGAGATGTTAATTACAAATTTAAAATTTTATATCGTAGTAATAGAGATGGTTCAAATGCATTTACTTTTCATCAAAAATGTGATAATATAAAAAAAACACTTGTAGTTGGCAAAATACAAAATTCAGATCAATTAATAGGAGGATATAATCCACTTGATTGGAATGGAAATGTAAATGGAGGCGTGATTTATAAAAACACATCTGAAAGTTTTATATTTAATATTAGTAATAGAAAAGATATTAATACTGCAATGTTTAGTTATCCTATTAATAGTAGTCGTGCAATTTATTGTAGTACTAGTTGTTTGGCTGTTTTTCAAGATTTCTGGTTTAATCCACAAAGTGCTGGTGGTAATATTGGTGGTAGTGGGTCATATGCTTATAATAACATCAATATACCACATGGTAGTAAATATGATGAATTAGAGGTTTTTCAAGTAATTGATAAAAACCAAAATCAAGGCTTTAGTTTTCGGTAGAATTATTAAGTTATGCACAATTCTTTTCTTTTTATTAATAATGTACCATTTGTAATTTTAATTTATCCTCCCAAAAAAGTAAATAACAAATAAATCATTGATGCAATATTATTAACTGAATAATTTAATGATGTTGAAAAATAAGATAAATATGTTATGAAATTAAACTCTTGCTCATTCATCAATTTTACAACTCGTTCCTTATACTTTAAAGAATCCAATTAAACAAAATTGCATTCTTGCAAAAACAAATATGAGCAAATTGATTTTTTAAAGCAAGCTTGGCAAAAAATTTAAAAATTTTATATTCTTGTAAAAACACCTTAAGATTTAAACGGAATGTATGAACTTGTTCCAATTTCTATCATCCAAAACATTCAATCTAGTAAATAAAATAATAAATAAAATATTATTAAATGATACAAAATACAAGTATTCCTTTCTTCTTCTTTCTTAAATGATTCTCTTTCCTCCTTCAAGTCTTTCTAATAATTTATGTTTTTGCCTAATTTATTTCAAGGAACAAAACTGCATATTTTTCTAATATTTAATAATGTCATCCGAAACCGTTTAATATCTCATGATTTTATTAAGTTAAACACGGGTATGTTTCTAAGGTAAGAGATTCTACATCTTAATTTGCATTATTGTCTCAAAAATGGCCAAAAAAATTTAGACCGATTTCTTAGATGACTACCGATCTACTTGATTTTTTTGCCTACAGAAACATAGGGAGGGGGATAAGAGGAATAAGTTACTTAGCCCAAAGCGAAATTCACCCAAAGCACGATATGCCAGCTCGAATAAATCCGGAAAATTAAGTTAAAAATTCATTATTCATCTAAGATAACTCAGCCAATGAGAATACTTTAAGAATACTCGAGGATTTATTCAACGAACAAATAGACAGAACAAAACAAAAGAAGGGTCCGATCAAGATGAGGTTCACATACACACGATGGCGGCAAATTAGTAATTCTTGTTTAATAACATTTGATATACTTTTTCAGCCAGTGAATTTATAACGTCATGCAAAATTATAAATGTGCATGATCGCTAAAGTTGTTCCACAACTTTTTGACTCATATATATAGAGTAATAGTACAATCAATTCTTTTTCTTAAAAATTTCACTGGCCAAGAAACTACATACAATCAATTTGTGAAACCTGCTATAAAATGTCTTTGAAAAAACATGGTTCTATCGACGCCTGGAGCCAAATCGCCCATCCAGACTTTATCAAAGGTGTTCCAGAAGTATCTCGTCTTTTGCTTCAATCAAAAACGCCTTTAGCTTGGTCGGAAAAGGGACTCACTCCCGAACAGACAATTCAACTGATGGATAAAGCTGGTGTAGAAAAAATATGTTTAAGTGCCTGGTATAGACCCGGAAAAGCAGTAATCACTAATGACATGATAAGCGAATGGACACAAAAATATTCTGACAGATTTATTGGAATTGCAGGTGTCAATTTACTCGATCCTTTTGGCGCAGTGAAAGAATTGGAAAGAGCTGTCAATGTACTCGGTTTTAAGGGCCTTCGTATTATTCCTTGGCTTTATAATCTTCCACCAAATGATAAACACTATTATCCTCTCTATGTGAAATGTATCGAACTGGATATCCCATTTTTTACACAAGTTGGTCACACTGGTCCATTATGTCCATCCGAGACAGGAAGACCAATTCCCTATCTTAATGAAGTTGCTCTTACATTTCCTCAACTGAAAATTGTTGGTGGTCACGTTGGTTATCCTTGGACAAACGAAATGATTGCTCTTTGCTGGAAACATCCCAACGTGTACGTTGATACTTCTGCCTGGCTTCCTCGTTACTATCCTCCAGAACTTATCCATTATATTGAAACCTATGGTCAAGACAAAGTTTGTTATGGTACCAATTTTCCCCAACTTAGTTGGGAAGCCACGATGAAACAAGTAGATGAATTAGGATTGAGTGATAAAGTAAGAGATAAGTTCTTGTATGGAAACATGGCAAAATTGCTCAAGTTAGAAAACAAAGCAAAATTGTGAACATTTAATTTAATCTATTTATGCAAGAAATTGAAATTCTTGGCAGAATATATGTATATCATATGATTCATCACAAATAAATGAAGGATGTTTTATGCCATTATTTATCATAAGCTCACAAAAAAAAAAATCAAACTGGTTTGTCTAACCAGATACTTGTTATAAATCATACACTTGATGTAAATTATAATATGTAATTTATCCCAACTATATGATAAATAAGAATCAGATTCATTTTTTTTTTTAGCTCTAATGATATTAATATATAATTTTTAGATTTCTTATCTATAGCAAACTCCTCATTATAATCAGAGAAACTTGGACAGCTTTGTCCATCAATAAAATGTAATACCATTACAACTGTAAAGTATTCATTGGCAGCAGAACAAGCCAATTGGATTTTTCCAGAAATAGAGGAAAAGATAAAGCATGAGATTGTAGTTTATGAGGAAAAACCAACGTCAGCATTACCACTTGAAAAATCTGTACAATTACATACCATTCAAAAGAAACATAAAATGCCAGCGCCTGTATTATGTAATTGTGAAGAGAAAATATTCATTAGAGTGAAAGAAGCTGTAGAAAATGATATTACAAATAAACATGAAACCTTCGAGGAATGCATTCAGAAAACAGGATTATCTTGAAAAAAAGAAGGTAATGATTATGTACAATTGTGATTGAACTTTTATCCCTATATCTACTTTCCATTTAATTTATTGATTTGACGTATCGTCGTCAGTTATAGGTTAACAAGAGTGTGCGATATAATATCTAACCATAATATTCTCTTTCTAATTAATATATATATCTGTTTAGTAAAGAATTAAGAAATAAATATTAATATTGTTTAGCCTACCATACCTCTAATATTAAATTGACTTCCGCATTATTACAAGTTAAGAAATCTTGTTGATCTGAATCTCTAAAAGTTACTTTATTTATTATTATATAGATCAGTTTTTTTTTTTTTTTGAAAAATTCCAACAGCTAAATGTTAATATTAATTTTAAGTATATAGAGAACTTGCCAAATTTGGCTAAATAATGATCGTATAAAAGCTTACTTAATTGGGAAAATTTTGCAATATCTAAATCCAAGTCAAACAACAGCAACCGTAATGAATTTTACCGATTTGATTAAAAGTGTTTTATGCGAAAAATCTCAAGAAAAATCTCTTTCTGATGATTTTTTGTGCGAATATTGTAAAGGATTATTAAAAGAAGATGATTCTGAAAATGTAGGAATTAAATTATATACATTGTAAATTTTATATATGTAAAATAATCAATAATACCATTATTTTTCTTCTTTGATAGAATTTCCAAAAAAATGAATTCACGATTCATCTTTATGAATGCATTTCAGATTGTTTAAAAGTTAAAGATAAATCTTCACGCTTTAGTAAAGGAATTCTTGAAAGACCATTTTATTTGGCACTAATTGAAATGTTGACAAATTGTTTTGGGAATGGAGGAAAATTTCCTGATAACGTTAAAAAAAGTAAAGTTTTTATGCTAGAAAATATAAATTTAACACGGTAAAAATAATAACAATAATAATGATTTAAATTAAAAAGAATATACTTATTTGAAAATAATCATTTAAATTTTAATTAGTAATTAGTAAATTAATAAACTTTTAAAAAAAGTTTAGATTAGAAGATATTGAAAATGAGATGAAAAAATTAATTGATTTGTGGAATGGATTTCCAATTATATTTCAAAATTCTCATAAATCGATGATCAAAGAATTTTTATTTGGTGTAAGTATCATTAATATTGCTAATTATAAATAGAAGATAATTAATTTCATATTTTTCTTTTTTTGCAATTAAGTTTTTAAATTTTGAAGATTTAAACACTTTCTTGGGGTTAAAGACAACTTTTAAATCATCATCACACCTTCCACCATCATTTAACGAGTGTGTTGAGTCATTTACAAGGGTTTATATTAAAAAAAATCAAAAAAAGAATCCCAGGAATCCTAATAGTAGTAATATATTAACAATTGGTGGTAAAGCATTATCAAAACATTCTCATCGTGACAAATCAACTTTATTTTGGGGAGTTTGTACTGGAAGTTAGTAAAACAATTAAATATTAATTAAATTTATTCTTTAATTCATCAACAATAATGATATTAATAGCGCTCTTAACGCTACTATTATTATTCAGCTGAAAGCAAAAAAAATGAACAAGCAAATCATGTTTTAGCTAAAATTATAACAAATGCATCTTGGGTGAATTTACATTCACTTCCAGTAAATGTCTATTTTCAATTTTATCACTTTAATTTTATATCAATTATTATATAATTATTGATGTTAATAATATTCTTTACATACATACATAAATAATAGCACGATATACTTGTATATGAAATACGTAATGATTTAGGGTATGGTGCTCGATGGGAAATCAATCGAAATAATAATATGAATCAAGAAGATGGTGATGTTGATGATGTTAATGATGTTAATGAGAAAAGGACAAAAATTATGTTTCGTGGTTTTTTAGAACCACAGATGGAAAATGGACATGCAAATAAATGGATTCATTAATTATATTTTATTATTATTTATTGCTTATATAACTTTTTGTTTTTTTGTTTTTATAATAGTTAATCTCTTTATCATTACATTTATCTAAAATAATAATTTTTATTGTTCATTGTCATCTTTTATAGTACTTCCAGTTCATCATTTGATATACTAGAAAATTTTATTTGATCTTGAAGTTGATTACACTCTCAGTACGGAATAATTACCTTTTACTACCAGCGGACCATCATCATTACTTTCATCCAGACTACCTTTATAAACAAATTTTTAAATTATGGATGTTTGCCAATTTGATGTCACAACCTGAATTGTTCCACATTGTTGACATTAAATTGTGGGAAGTGTATTGTTTCTTTTATTGTTTCTTCATGGATCACTAATTGTGTGCATAATGGTAGCATTATAAGGTGAATCCGTCCAACGCCATCGATCGAATGTTATCTTCGGTTTCAATGTTATCTTTATTAAAAAAAAAACATTATCTTTGAAGTATTAATAGATAAAAATGTATGTGCAATTTAACAACACCAAAACTTACCTCGATGGAAGATCTACTTTAACCTAAAATTTGCCAACTATCCATGGTTCTAACGAAAAATATGATAATACTCTTCGAAGAAGGATCTTTTTGCAGTTATGTCCTTTGTAAATAATTTATCTCATATCGAATAAATTTTTGTCGTCAATGCTGTTGCTGATACTGTTGTTGCTGTTATTGATCCAGCCGAGTTTGCTTTTATTAAAATTTACCGTGGATAATATTTAAGTATGATAATGATTGTTTATATGTGACGACAAACCTACTGTGGTTATCAAAGGCTTCGACCAACTGTGAGATAGATGTGAAATATTTTGTTGATTTTCTCGTGTCCATTTGAATTGTTCCTCTTTTGATTGTTCTACTTCGGATCTCATGTAGTTACTCAGTAATATTTTATCTTATATTTCAATATTTTTGAATGATTATGTATTTCCCTATACCTTGGTTATATCAAAATAAATGAAGCATTATTCGTCTTTCCATTGTTATTTAATCCTTTATTCGAGCATGAATACCTTTGTCCTCACTGTTGTATATATCTATCGCAATGCATTTGAACATATTGTTCTTAAATTTGGCCAAGTAATAATGATAATATTAGAACCACCATGCAAAAACAAACCTTTTAAGGAACCAATTGTGGAAAAGCCACATACAATAAAGAAGAGAAAATCTGGCAAAGTTGGAAAATAAACCTATGATCCTTTCCGAATTTTAGTTCATAACTTCTTTCCATACAGAATAATGGTTCTAATGCTCCATATTGCAAAAAGGAAACAAAATGGTCGCAACCAGCATCTTTAATAGTTCATTACCATGTCATACAAGTGGCAGTGGAACATTTTTAGTGGTCTTGGTACCCTTTTTTTCGTGCGCGTGTTGGTGCGTGTTATGTGTACATGTGTTCTTCCCATTACAAATTGTAGAGATCGTTCTCAAAATCCCCAAAAAAATAAACCGAATAAATCTGACTGGTCACAGGTGTCATATTTAATTAGTTTTCTCGATCAAGTATATGGTTGATGCTTTCACACACCTTCATAACTATGGAATTCTTTCCATGGGTGAAGGTCCCACATGTTGGAAGACTTTAAACAAATTAGAGGCTTTAGTCAGTATTGGCATTTTTCCATTAGCCAGCCAACATTATCAGCCAAAAATGGCTAGAGTGATCAAGCAAAACTGGCCTCCGTATGAAAAATAATTTTGGAAAACCATATTTTTCTGTTTTTACTGTATTATCTGAAAAGAGAACGAAAAAATATAATTCCATACATTTTCATGTGTCTTTCGTATCAGTATTAGTATTATTATCTTTTCCAGCGAATGTTAGAATACGGAAACATAAATATAAAAGAAGCATTTTTTCATAACAATAAGTTTTCTATACTAATACTAATACTTTACCCATGTTTTTCCGTACTTTTTCCATACAAATACTAATGCATTTTTCATGCAAAATTTTTTTTGACAATGATGAAATTCATAAACCCACATCCCTGAAAATTTAATTGCATCATTATATCTCAAGACAAGCTAGTCGGATTAGCCATATATACGCGAAGAAAAAAGAGAATGTTTGAAATGTTTGAGCTCTCAAAGTAACAACACAGGTTACATATCGAGTTTCTTGGTGTCTACTAAGAGAGATATTCAATAGTCGTGTTGCCTATTTCGCCTTTAGATTTCTTATAATTATTATTATTTTAATATTAATAATGACCAATGCAAAAGTACACCAATCATTTATAAAAATCCTGTATAATGTAAACAACTATAAGTTTTGATCTAAGCAAAACCATACCAAATGTTTATTGATGAATGAATGCCTAATTGGGGTTTTTTTTTCAAAAAAAATTTTCTTTAAGACGCGTTATAAAAAATTTTTTGCCTGACGCCCCTTTTTTTAAAATTTTTTCTAAATAAAATGTCTTCATCATTGGAGGAGAATAATAAGAAGAAAAGAAACAAACAATTCCCGAGAAAAATATCACGAGTAAGTATTGTTAGAGGAGATAAAGATAAATTTGAGAGCTTTTCTAGTTTGGCATGCATTTTTAATATTATTTGAGGCATACTGCAACAAAACCAGACAAAATGAACATTGGTATTTCAGAGATCAAAATTTAGTCATTTGTAATGTGATCATAATTAACAATTTTATAATATCCCATTTATGAAACTCATTTACATCAGATCCCGAGAATTATAGCACAATTAGAAGTATTTTAAAAAAGGAACAAGGTGAAACATTGCTCCTTGTATTTTCAAAATAAATGGCACTCATACACTCGAAACTTATATAAGAAAGGATTACCTATGAAATTTACCAAGAAAGAAAAATAATAAAATTAGAAAAAGCAGAATGAAAGTGTGTGCTATTACTCAACAAAAAGCAAAAATCCTTAGAAGGAAAATAATCTCATCATTATAGTATTTATTATTATCAATAATAATGTTGTATTAATATTTATATCTTCTTTGTTTTCATTATCTTCATCTCTATCTCTTCCTTTTCAATTTACTTCTGAATTGCTTCTAATGTTTTTTTTCTAGGATTTGCCTTTTGTTTATGGAAATTTTAATAGTAGAAGTGACAACTCCTTTCTCCTTAAGTAATTCACGAATTTTAATGGTCATTTCATTAAAGGAAAAATCGGAGTCTTTTGTCAAATAATTCTTTGAAGTTACACCATGGACTTGCGAATATTTTTTATCAGCAGTAAATTTGTTTGTTCTATTTTTAATTTTGTTCTATTATATCGATTATTTGATTAATTTTTTTGATTATAATACAGAGTCGATTTTTTGTAAGTTTAAAGTGAAGAAACCAAGCAGGAGTTCAATTAACAACCCACAAAAAGTTCACAGTTGAAAGCAAGCATTTTCTTAAGAAGTTATTATGGATGGAAATATTGTGTAAATATTTATTGATTATTTTTTAAGCAGAATAAAATCGTATTTAATGATGATTATTAGGAGGGGGGGTTTTAACATATCTTTAGCAAATGAGGAGAGGTGGAAAGGATACATTTTTTATTATTATTACTATATTAACATATATGTATATATATATAAAGGAAATTTTCCCTTATTATTATTGTTATGCAAATTTAATGATCAGTAATTGTGTGTAAATCGCACAATTTTGTGCATTCTCGTCTTGGTGATATTGATGGCGATAGTATTGGTGATGTTGTTGGCAATAGCTTTGATGATGACAATGATGATAACCTCCTCTATAAATACAAGTAAAAAATTAATGTTTCAGTTTATACTTACACGTTTCCTATATGAGCCAGTATTATAGTTTATTTTCTTTCTTTTCCTAAGATTATGATTATTCTGTAAGATTTTTAAAAAATTAATGCATAAGTTGACAAAAAGTAAAAATAAATAAAATCAAAGATTGTTAAATATTTACTCTTTCCACTCTTTCCACGATGTAAATCCTTTCTTCTGGTGTATCACCAATATCATTGGTATTATCGGTATTAATACCATTATTAAGTTCATCATCATTTAAAGTTCCTTCATAACCAATGGAAATATTTTGTAAATCGGTATTATCGGTATTAAAGTTAATATCATTATAAGTTCATCATCATCATCATCATCAGTTCCTTCATATTTAATAAAAATATTTTAATAAATCTGATTATTCTTTAAAAAGATAATCAAGGTATTATTAGCATACTGATAAGTTAATAATAAATAGACTATTGTCATTGTCTTGACCTGAGTGATGTCGTTGTGTAAGTAAAAGGCACGAAGCTTGCTGTCACGATTTCGTTTAAAAGCTTCAATTGATGTGACATGGCACACGACTACTATTACTGTTACTATGCTTAAATTAATTATCAAATCATATTTGCTGATAAATTTTTTTGTTTTTTAAAAAATCTATTTCGAAATGAATTATAAAGTTCCAAATGGTATATATTATTATTATTAATTAATTCATATTATTTTTATTTATTTATATTTACATTTGGTTGTTTTAATAGATTGTTGGGTGTATATTGATAATAATGATGATAAAAACAAAGAAATTTTAAAAATTTATCATAACAACAACAATTGCAATTATGATGAAAATCTAAGTGGAAATGATTCAACCGATAGTGAGATTTATGATTCAAATAATGATAATGAAATTGAAATATATGAAGATGAAGATAGTGATAATAAAATTGGCGGTGATGATGAAATCAATAGTGAGGATTGCAACGAAAACAGTGATAAAAGTAACAATGGATTTTTTTGTACAGCTTCAAATTGTGGTAAATATTTCAGGGATAGAGTTTTCCTTAACAGACACACAGTAAATTTCATGGCAAAAAAAAATGTGAATATCCAGGATGTGCAAAAACATTTTGTCAAAGTGGTGAATTACGAATACATACAAAACGTCATCTTGGAATAAAAAATTTCAAATGTAAATATCCAGGATGTGAAAAAGCATTTTGTCAAAATCGTGAATTACAAATACATACAAGATATCATCTTGGAATAAAAAATTTCAAATGTGAATATCCAGATGTGCAAAAGCATTTTGTCAAAGTGGTGAATTACAAATACATACAAGACGTCATCTTGGAATAAAAAACCATGGATGTAATGTATTTGGATGTGACAAAAGGTTTGTTAGAAAAGCTGAACTCGATATGCATAAATATAGATGTCATTAAAACCTTGGCTACATGATAATGATAATATTAATTAAATATTTGTTACAAGACACTCATGTAATAATAAATTATAATTAGACAATCAACACATGCTTACCTTTAAGCTCGTACAGTATGTACAAGTATGATATAAGTATATAAGATATAAGTAAACGTCATGTATGAGTAAAAATACCAACCCTGATTATAATCGTTTAATCCATCCTGTAAAAATAACTATTTGGCGATTTGGGTATGAATGATGCATATTTACCTTGTTTTATTTTAATGTAAAAATTTATTTGCGTAACAATAAAATAGAGTAATGTATATTGTAGATAAATCAATTTAAAAAGGTATCCGGACACAATTCCCCTTTTTTTTATTAAGAAAACGGGATCTAATATCCTCACCAGTTATAATCTATATGTTATAAGATAGTATTATCTAAAAAATGCAAATTTGATCAAAAACCTCAGAGATCATTTTTGCTGGAGACAGTCCCATATGATTTTACTACGATGACAACACCACTACTTCTATACCTTCTACTACCTAAGTATACATAAATTTTTGAAGTTTATTCGAAACCAAACTTTCTCTCCTCCCAAAAAAAAAATCTATACTGTACATTTTTTATTTACGAGGCACAGTCGTTTTTAGATTAAATGATGTTAACAGCTTCAAAAGTGTTGGCGTTAACATGTAGTAAGTAGAACACAGAATATTTTCATTAATAAAAGTAAATTAGAATACTTCTTCTATAGTAAACAACTTGTTATTTAATATTATCATCATTTATGTAATAAGTAACATTATTTAGAGTTCAGTGATCGACAAAATTTTTACGCGTACTACTGGAATAATTTTTAAATTCACATGGAAAGTCGTCTGATTAATTACCTTGAATATGAATTTCTAAAACAATCAAATCTAATTAACACAAGTTGTTTCTATTTTTATTACACTAACGAAAAAAAAATAATAGCCAAATAATGTTTGTTCTCTTTAAAGAAATCTATATACTAATTTTTTTTTCTTCCATTTTTTAATCATTTAAAACGTAAAAAGAACACTATAGATATTTCTTCTAACGTAAAATCATTTATCAACTAATCACTGAAATGGTATAAAATAGTGAAGAAAAAGAGAGAGATATCCAACTTGTAAAGAAATTATATTTTATGGATAAATTATCTACCATACATACATATGAAATTTTAGCAAATGTTTTTAATTGTATAAAATATCCACCCAATATCTTGACAAAAATTGTTAAAGGCCCATCCATATCCCTACAAAAATTTTAGATACTTAATTTCTGCTTAATTTCTACAAAACGTGCTTAAACCATTCCCTATAATTTAAAATATAAACTAGTTTCATACATGCATGCACATTTTGCTTTTGAAAAAAAAATTTAAATACCAACTAAATTTAAATATGCTTTTTTCAAGAAAAACAGTCTTTGAAGAGATAAGAGTGTTATTTTCGTAAACATGGCAAAAAGTTAGAATTTTACACGCAAATTCTTGAGAACCTATATAAGCTACTAAATGACATAAATTATTTATCTTCATATTTTCATTATATGCAATTAAATTGTTTCATAATGACCGAAACTTTTGTCTAATGAGTGTATAGAACATGAACCAACTAACCATTAATACTATTTATGTTAATGATTTTTTAATATATACCGTATATATATTGTTATTACAATAATATTAATCCGCTCTACAACCCAACCCTTTGCCCATACCAATTTTTCGATACCAAGGAAGCAAATTAGCATTAATATTAAAAAATATCCCACTTGTGCGAAGCTTTTCAGATTATGCTCGAAAATGATCTTATTAAATCTGATATGATTACGATGTCATAAGTGATCTCAAAAAGGAAAAAGAATTGGATACAAAACAATGGAAATTTATCACAAAATCTGACCCTAAACCAATAGGTGCAATCAAGGTTTAAAACTAAATAAAAAATAAAAAATAAAACCACAATGATAATAACGAAATTATTATGTGGTTTTTTTACCAGATTTAGCCGAAGAATAGGGTGATAAATTATCAGGCCTTGAAATTTGACTACTATCAGTTGCTCTGAATTTTTCATGTAATCGACATATTTAGTTTGCATTAAATTTTGTGCGACAACCTGAAAATGATTAATGATTTTTACTTTCTCAAATGTTTCGTCAAACTACCAATTCCTATTTAAACTGTTACTATCCCCACCCAATAAAGTGGTGCCATTCAACAAACTGGTGATCCTCTTACTCCACAAAGTGCACTACCTACACCTACGGAACAATTTCAATTGCCAAAATTACTAAAAGAGATTCCAGAAGAGGAAGGGTTGTTGATATCTGTTTGCCTTTCTTTGGTACAAGTTCAACGAAAAGAAAGGCAACAGTGAACACATTCATGAACATGAATTTGTTGTTACGCAGTTGATGGATTACTTCAAGGTTCCCTCAAAGTACTTTGAAATATGTAAAAGAATTTGACGTAAGAAGGTTTTCTTGATCCTTTCCATATAATCGATTTTCTAAAATTCACATCTTTCTTTTAGTTTATTTTAGTTCATCTGGAGCTGATTCAAAATGTTGTGTGCAGTATGTGGCTGGAAGGGATACGATTCTTTGCCAAATGAGTATTTTTAGTTTAAAATCACCTGATTTTATAAATTCATTTGTATAACAATAGCCAGGTTTGAATAAATTTTGAATTAAGCGGTATTATTGGTTCGCAAGTGAATCATCAGCGGGATGTATAGTAGTAGCCATAAATGAATTCTAAAGAATCAGAAATATTTTCGTTATCATCAATCACATCCATCAAATTTGAACCAACTCTATCCAATGTTCGATTCTGTCAATAGAATCATCAATTTCTTCTTCTGAATCCTCTTCAAAAAATGCTACGTTTCACAGTCATTATTTTCAATATTATCATTGCTGAGTGTCATATCATCAGTTACTTCATTTGTTCAACTTTATTATCATTATCAACAGATCATTGGTTGTGAGATAGAATAGGAATTGCAATATGATTCCTTTTATAAAGTTTTTTATATTTTTTAACTTCCAACTCTTTTTTCTTTCACTCCTCAATTGACACATCCCAAGGACCTTTTCATGCTTTAATAAATAGATTTTTATTTTTGTTTTTATTTTAATTAATTAAACATTCTATAATAAAATTTAAATTAAAAAACCAAATTTTAATATTTTTTTACATAAAGGCAATTCCTTTTTCTGAATTTGCAAAAAACCCATTTTGGTCCAAAGTTTTCAACAGAGGCGGAACTCCATATAAATGAAGAGCTAATCTCAAAAATTCAGGTGCCCCACCTTTTGCTAAATCACAACAACTACTTCACGATTAAGTTGACCAAATGTTTCATATCAAAAGGATAAATATTCACGCAAAATTCTGATTGGTGGTGCACTAAACCAAACCTGATAAAAATAATCAATCCACTGACCAAATACATATATGAAAGAATTGCTTGTATATTTTAAAAAAGTAAAACTCTATATTGCGGATGAGAAACAAGAATAAAAAGGTAAAAGTGGTTGTTCCAATTTATTAAAGACAGTTGATCATTTGATTAAAAAAGTTTACACTTTCATGATTAAAAAATATAATACAAAATCAAGAACTGCTTCATAAAGCCGTGCCATATCTTCTTGTAGTTATTGAGAGCAACACACAGAAGAATAATAATATAAATTATTTCAAAGCTTTTGTTCATTTATTATAGAAATATGTCTGGAGGAAGATGATATCCTTGGTCTACAGAATTTGCTAAAAGTCTTTGTCTACTCTGAACACTTTGAGATAAACCAAAGATTCGCTTTAAAAATCATACCCAAGTGATCACGAAAACAGATAGCTATTCCAGCAAGTTTCACTAGTCGTAATTAAAATAATACTCCAGAACTATGTATATCTGATGCCATTGTGTACGGTTTGCCATTTAACACTTTCAGGGCTAAATAAAACATTTCCACTATGAAAATCATGGTGAAAAATTTTTAAGACGAATTTGATCTAAAAATAGCAACAAGAACACCTATTGATAAAAATAATTTTGAAGATTCCCATCTTCTAGATATCTCGTTACAAATATATTAGTACATTCTAAGCTCTCTATACCGAACCCACTGTCCCCTATATGTAATTTTTCTGTTTTTGTTCGTTATAGAGAGAAAAATTAATTATAAAAATTGAATCGGGGACAAAAGGGTGACAAAAGGGAAATTCGTTATAGAGAAATTTTACTAAGTGTTCGGTATAGAGAGCTTAGACTGTATATTCTTTTATAATTAGGTCTTGTGTTGATCCATAAATATAAATTATAAAATCGATTGATACAGTTTTTAAGCTAAATAAAGAAAGAAAATAATTAATTTCTATAATAATAATTAACAGCGAAATAAAATTATTACCTCGCTTGGAAATCTTTCTGAAATGTTTTATGAATCATGTAGTTTTTTTTAATGCAACAAACAATCCTATCCTTACAAAGCTTTCCATTAACATTTGCATATTTTCTATATCATTTATCCATGTAGCTTTGAATATGGTTGCAAATCCACCTTCACAATATTTTCTATATCATCATAAGGAATACATTGTTGCATCAAGCTGTGTGCTTTTAATCAATTTCATTACCACTGATTAGTCCATACCATGATGATGAACATTATATCAAATTGAACATGTATAATTTTCATCTTGAATAATTTGAATTCAAACTTTATTATAAAACTTGTTATTTTAAAGACAAATTTTTTAATATTAATATATAGAAAATCCTATTGAGTATCCAATGAAATTCCGAATTATGATGCAATTATAAATAATAATGGATATCATAAACAATTGTATTCTTATTTAAATATAAAACTTTTCTAATAAATCTATTGAAATGCTTAATGTAAACAGGCAAACCAAATGAAATAAATTAACAACAAGGATCAGCAATATCAAGATGATAATAATAAAAAGATTTAAGATACAACGCAAGGACGATGATTTTCTGCTTTAAGCAGAAAACCGCAGAAATCGCAAAAGTATGTATCAAAAGCAGAAATGTGAATAATTATATCTAAAATTGGTTAGGTGCTGGATATCTTTCTATTTTTGTAACAGACTGTCACGCAAGGTGAATATCTTACTATTTTTATAACATTTTAATGCAATTGTAATTCTTCTGATTTTGGTTCCGAAATTGATTTAACTATAATTTTAATCCAAGTGATTATTACCCTACTTTTCATGTAACTTTTGAAGCTGCTTTTAACAAATTTAATGCACATATTCCTTCACATCCTGCTCGTCCCCTTTTTCATGCAGTGCAAATTTTTGATTCAAAATTTATTTTACTTGGTCCTTTGGAAAGAAAAAACTTACGTCAATATAGATCAATCAAAGAATTAGAAAATCCTTCTGATGAATTATTAAATGAATGGGAAATTTATTGTGGAATGCAAATAGATGATTTAATAGATGAAATAGTTTTAAATGAATATTGGATAAATATTTAAGATCAATTGCTCTGAAATACATATGGTTGCACACATCTAGTTTCTCAATATATTAGATAGCAATAGACAAAATCTTTCAGAAACTTCTTTAAAAACTTTAAATATGATGTATAATAACTCTAGTTTATTAATTGGAGACAATTTTTTTATTTTTTTAATTAAATAAAATAAGATTTTATGGAAGAATTAAGCAGAATTGCAAATAAAATAGGCAGAACTTTAGTAGAAATAATTTTTTAAACGCCGCAGAAGTAAGCAGATTTTGATTTTTTTCATCGCAGAAATTCAAAACGGAATTAAATTGGTGCAACAGAAATTGTCTATCTTGGGAAAAAACTGTATATTTCAATAAACATTAAATTTTACAAAAAAGGATTTCACGAAAGTAAAAGCGTTGTATAGGAATGCTCAATATTCAATATTCAATATTCGATGACTGATGAATGCCGAGTAGATGGAAACGCATTTTTTAAAACATAATTTTTAGGAAAACGTGAGGTTAAATTTTAAGGTGTTTGTTATTGGATTTTGATTCATGAAAAGGATCGTCATAGCATTTAAACGGTTTCAGTGATTCATTCTTAAAAATTCGGATTCTTTAGTTCGTGTGTGCATGTGTTATTAATAAATGATGGATTTATGTGATTAATTGATGTATTAGTAAATAAAAAATCATCAGTGTATGGTTGCATTGACTTTTATTAAGATGTTGACTAGGAATTTCGTGATAACAAATAGCTTGGTCTCATCCAAACCATGACAATAGAAAAAGACACCATTATCAATCAATTGAAATGAAGTAATCGAAATGGATTAAACAATTTGCGATGATGATTAATGTTTTCTTATCTTCGATCTGCCTAAAAGTAAACTATTCAAACCGTTTGTGTTCTTGTTCTTTGTTGTTTGTCACCGTTAATCATTTTCTTTGAAATAATTCAAAAAGTTTGCTATTATTAAAAAATGCAAATTATTACTATTAAAATAAAAATAAATTGTATGAATAAAATTACATAATGTGCAATAATATAAATATTTGTTGGATTAGATATTTTGTCTCTAATTCATCACACTTACACAAAATTTGTGCTACATTTTGAAGGATAAATTCCTTAATTGCATATCAGTCAGACAGGATTTCACGCGATTGACATGTCTACTGTCATAGCTATGTAAAATTTTTGTGAAACACGTCAATTTTTACTATTAAAATCGAAGTTACTTTTTTGTTTGTTACTAGTACACCCATATATAGTTTTTAACAAGGAACGTGATATTTTGTACACGCATTCTTTGAGACTTATTTTATTTCCTTGTAAAATTTTAGGTATGATTTCATAAAGAAACGAAAAAGAATTACCAGTTGAAAGTTATTCATTCAGTTTTTAACGACATTACCATTTTTAGTAAAATTTTAAAAAAAATTAGTAATTTCAATGAAAACGAAAAACCACCTTTAGAAATAACATTGCTTTATTGAATTTGGGTTGAGTAGTCAACTGTCAATATTATAATTATTTAATAAATAATTCCTTACTAATAAATTTAATGGAAATTTTTGTTTATAAGAATGAATGGGGTGTTCTTTGGCTAATAACAAGATTCATAAAAGGTACATACATACTTTTTTTTTTTTTTTTTTGATTCAATTAATTATAATATTAGTTAAAATAATGAATAAGATATGAACAAATAAATAAATTCTAATATTTTTATTTATCTTTTTTTTTAATTAACTTCTAACAGTTTCTTTGTTTTTTTGAGAAAGAAATATTAGTTGACATTCTAATATAGTAAATAATAGGTAATAATGATATATTATTTTCATTGTTTTAATAAAAGATATTAGATTCTTTTTTAATAATGATTAGATTGTTAACAAGTTCTTTCTTTGACAGATATAAAGAAAACATATTTTAGAATTAATATAAATAGATGTTTTATACAATATTCCTACAAAATAAAAATTTGTTAAATCATTGTAATTTCATTTTAATAATTATTAATAAATAAAATTTATTATAATTTATCTTTGTGATCGTAAAAATCATTGTTAAATATATATTTAATTATCAATAATCCATAATCCATAATCCATACATATCCTACATTTTAATCATCTCTACTTCCATACAAACATAAATTTGTTGTAAAAGTCACAATAAACTTGAATAAGAATAAAATGGATTCAAATCAAAGAAATTTAAATTTGATTGAAAAAGATGTTGAATTGATGGAAGAAGTAAGCTATAATTTAGTTGAAAAAGAAAAGGGATCAGAAAGTGAGTATGATGAAGATGATGATTTTAGAATGTTTGTGTTAGATGAACCAGCTCTAGAGACTGCAAAAAATCTATTTGATTCTCAGAGGTCTCAAGATGTACAAGATGAAGAAAGTAGTGATGAGGAAAGTGATGAGGAAAGTGATGAGGAAAATGATGAGGAAAATGATGAAGAATTTCATATATTCAATGATAGTAATAATGAAGGGGATTTTGTTATACCAGATACTAAGCCCACAAAGTTATCATCGTGTGTTATAATTGATAATTATAATTCTACAGGGACCATTTCTCGATGTTGTTCAATAAAAAATTTAGTACCATTGGCACGGCTCTCTGGAACATGGGAAGTGGATGTATCTGTAGGAAATAATTCTGATTATAATTTATACTGCGAGCGTGCAATCCGAGTTTCCTATTTAATAGGTTATTTATAGCTCAACACACAGCCTACTCGCTGACTTACGGT